TGCGTTACCACGACAGGGAGAAATGGATTTCCCGGCCACCTAAACATAGATCTCGGCCAAGCAGGACTATTGTCTTTAAGAATACGTTCAACTGCAGTCATGCCCGTATTAAGAAGGTTATCAGTAATATTCTGCCAGACTTAGATTGTACTGTGTGTTACAAGAAAAATGTAACAATAGCTAGTCTATGTAAGTAAGTTTTTTAGGGGGCCACGGTTTTCCCCAAAATATTTTTCTCACCTTGCCTTACACGTGTTAAATTTTTCACAACTTCGCCTGCTCCTGTTCGTAAGTCCGGCCAAGTCTTTATGGTCATCGGTCCCCGTAACTTTGGCTTACATATACAGGCGTTTAGTTATACTTGTAAAACTCCCTGAAGAAGTCTACGACAGTTAGATGAAACGCGTCGGAAAATAAAAGAAGTTTTACAACTACTGTTTCGCAGAGGTGCTGCTCACTAGTCTATATTTAAGACTGTTTTTTAAAAAATTTTTAAAAAATAATTTAAAAAATTTATACTTATAAAACTCTCTAAAGGAGTCTACGACAGTTAGACGAAACGCGCCAGAAAATAAAAGAAGTTTTACAACCACTTTTCGCAGAAGTGCTGCTTACTAGTCTCTATTTAAAAAAAAGTTGATCGTATCCCGCGATAATTTTCTCTGCCTTAGTTTATTCGAATATGGATTTTTTTTGAAGCCGTGATGTTCGAGAGAATCGAGCTTTAAAGCAACCGGAGAAACTTGCGCCATCACTGATGATATTCCCGGACTGAAAAGGATCATGCTGAACCTCGTCCTCAGGAATTTCTCGGTCAGTTTTCGAGATGGAGGCGGGTCCAGAGAAATAAAACCTCTTATACACACACACCTCTCTATGACGACTGCCCATTGGTGCTTTTCTTACATGGTATTTCATAAGTTTATCCGTTCAAAACGAAGATGACAGCTCTTGGGAGGGTTTTCGCTCTGCCAAGGCCGGTCAGTCAGAAAAATGATTATGTCACGATTTGTAATTTCGAGCGCAGGTTTTTTATGGCTAATACCTTATGACATTACACAAAATTATCCGGTAATAAGAAATTACATGAAGGATGATAGAGAGCGGCATCCTGAAGGCCAAGTTCAGGCAAGAGGTTCTTACAGCTCAATGATTCAGAATGACGCGCCTGAAAGATAACACGCTCTCTTTCCTTACGACGGATGCCTCTAGATCTTACTACAAGAAATGTTATGCACTTTAACTATTTTGTAACTCCCTCTCTCTTTATGCTTAATAGTTATCCCAATTGATAATTTCTTTTTACTATGAATATTAATTATTTACTTGAAAACTGCCTTTCAATGCCGTGTGTTATTGTCTTTATTTCTTTAATTCTCAATC